GTAACTCTAACAAAACAGGTGAAAGACCTGTATGACAAGAACTTTGAGCCTTTAAACAAAGAAATTAAAGAAGATACCTGAAAATGGAAAGATCTCCCATCTCTTGGATAGGTAGGATCAACACAGTGAAAATGGCAATCTATAAATTCAATGCAATCCCTAGCAAAATCCTAGCAAAATCCTTCACAGATCTTCTAAGGACAATAATCAACTTTATATGGAAAAACAAAAGACCCAGGATAGCCAAAACAACAAAGGAATCATCCCTAACGTCAAGACCTACTATACAGCTGTAGTAAGGAAAACAGCTTGGTATTAGCACAAAACAGACAGGTAGAACAATGGAATTAAATTGAAGACCCAGATATTAACACACACACCTATGAACACCTGATATTTGACAAAGAAGCTAAAACTATACAATGGGAAAAACAGTACGTTCAACAAATGGTGCTGGCATAACTGGATGGTGACATGTAGAAGATTACAGAGAGATTCATATCTATCGCCATGCACAAACAAGTCCAAATGGGTCAAAGACCTCAACAAAAATCCATCCACACTGAACTTCTTAGAAGTGAGAGGTACCATTGAAAGAACTGGCACAGGAGACCACTTCCTGAACATAACATCAAGCAGCACAGACACTGAGATCAACAATTAATAAAATGGGATGTCCAGAATCTGAGAAGCTTCTGTAAGGCAAAAGACACAGTCAACAAGACAAAAAGGCAGCCCACACAATGGGAAAAGATCTTCACCGACCCCACATCTAACAGAAGGCTAATCCCCAAAATATACAAAGAACTCAAGAAGCTAGTAGTCAAAACACCAAATAATCCAATTAAAAAGTGGGCTACAGAACTAAACAGATTTCTCAATAGAGGAATCTAAAATGGCTGAAAGATACTTAATTTGCTCAACATCCTTAGCAATCAGGTAAATGCAAATCAAAACAACTCTGAGATGCCATCTTACATCTGTCAGAATGACTAAAATCAAAAACACCAATGACAGTTTATGTTGGAGAGGATGTGGTGAAAGGGGAATACTTTTGCATTGCTGGTGGGAGCGCAAACTTGTACAGCTACTTTGGAAATCAGTATGGTGGTTTCTCCGGAAAATGGGAACCAGTCTACCACAAGAGCCAGTAATTCTACTCTCAGGTATATACCCAAAAGATGCACATTAATACCATGAGGACATCTGTTCATGGCAGCATTATTTGTAATAGCCAGAACCTGGAAGCAACCTAGATGCCCCTCCAAGGAAGAATGGATACAGAAAATATGGTGTATTTACACAATGGAGTACTACTTAGATGAAAAAAAAACAATGGAATCTTGAAATTTGCAGGTAAATGAATGGAACTACAAGAAAGCATCCCAAGTGAGTTAACCCAGTCACAGAAAGACAAACATGGTATGTACTCACTTATATATATGGATATTAGACAAAGAGAAAAGGATTACCTAGCTACAATTCACTCCAGAGAAGCTAGGAAACAAGGAGGACCATAAGAGAGGCATATAAGGTCCCCCAGTGAAGGGGAAAAGACAAGAGACCCTGAACAAATTGGGAGCATTGGGGGAGGGAGATAGGAGAAAGAGGAGGGGAGAGGAGGAGCCGGGAGGAGAACATAAGGAGATTAGGAGGATTGAGTGGGGAGAGGAATAGAGGAGAGCAAGAAAAGGGACAATATAGGGAGCCACTATAGGTTTACAGAGAAATCTGGCACTAGGGAATTGTATAGAGACCTACAAGGATGACCCCAACTAGGAACCTAAGATATAGTGGAGAGGCTGCCTTAAATGCCCTTTCTCTATAATGACTGCCTTAAATGCCATCCTAGAGCCTTCATCTAGTAGCTGATGGAAGCAAAGATCCATAACTAAGCACTAAGAAAACTCCTGGAATCCAGCTTCAGAGAGGGAGGAGTAATGACCAGGCTGGGAAAACCCACAGAAACAGCTGACCTAAGCAAATGGGAACTCATGGACCCCAGACTGATAGGTAGGAAACCAGCATAGGACCAAACCAGGGCCCCTGAACGTTGGTGTTGGAGCACTGGGCAGTCTATGGGGTCTCTGGCAGTAGAACCAGGATGTATCCCTATGCAGGAATGGACTTTGGGGACCAATTTCTCATGGACAGATGCTCTCAGCCTAGATACACAGGGGAGGGCCTAGGCCCTGCCCCAAATGATTAGACAGATTTTGATGATCCTTCATGGAAGGCCTCACCTCCTGGGGAGTACCTGGTGGATGGGAAGAGTGTTTGGTTTGGGGGCATGGGAGGATTCGAGAGGGAACATTAATCAATATGTAAAATAAGATTGTTTCTAATTTAAATAAAATGTATTAAAAAAACAAAACCCTAAAATACCTATAAAGTAAAAACAAAAAAACACAAAAAACCAAAAAAAAATAGAAAATAAAACCAACAACAACCAAAAACAGACAAACCCCAAACAAACCAACAAAGGAAACTTAATGACCTGGACTGGTTAACTTGAGACATAGAATGAAGAATGCCTTTCACAGCTCTACTAATTCATAATGGCAACCAGCAAGTTCACCTTAGTACAATAAGCAGAAGATTGAGTGACTTAAACAACTGTCTGTGGCTTCCAACTGTACTTAAAGTCATTATTCACAGAATAAAGCATTGTGGGGACATATTTTTGACACCAAGTTGAGAATGTCTTCAACGCTGTATTAGACATGGCTGTTGTGGCCCCTGTGAGGAGCAGTTCCTGCTTCAGGGGACAGGGAAACAGGTACTAGTGGTTAGGGAATGGGCAACACAGCTAACTTCTAATTGCAAATGACACCCAGCCTTGCTGAGAGTAGCAAAGACCATTTAGGACTTGATCAGTGACACATGGGTTCATTTAAGTCACTGGGAGGCTCTGCACCCTTGGGACACACCCAGCTGTCCATCAGTAGAAGCAGGAGCCTCATGTGTAGGAGGTTAAACACCGCTTGCAGCTGAGCAGCTTGCCCCTGGGTCAGCATGATCAACACCTGCTGAGGGACCTGGACACAAAGATCGGCCAAGGACAGGGAAAACTCCTGACATCCTCATGTCTGTTGCTTCCTACGATGCACATTGAAAGGCAATGCCACCCTAACCATCATTTTAATAAAAGCTAACCCAAATAAACGCACTTCATGATGGTTTCTCCCCCAAAGCACTGATGACCATCAAGCATTGAAGTCTATGTGTTTGTTAGTCAGAACTGAACACTTGCTGAAGGTAGTAGTTCACAACTGTAACCTTAGTTTAGGGAGTGGCGGGGTGGTTGTTCTGAGTTTCACAGCAAGATCTTGTCTCTAAAAGCCAAAACAGATGAAATTAAAGAACAGACAAATGAAAACATACCAGCCACCTAGGAGGCTTGGAAGTAGGCTTTTTCTAGGCATCTCTCCATAGGAAGAATGTTGACTTCAGTGTGATTATTAAATTAAAAAAATATTAGCTGGGTGTGGTGGTGCAAGCCTTTCATCTCAGCACTCAGAGGCAGAGGCAGGTGTATCTCTTGAGATCCAAGGCCAGCCTTGTCAACACAGAGAGACCAATCTCAAAAATGAGAGTATAATTTAATGCTCATAATTTAAATGCTTATATTTTTATTAAAATTAAGATTTTTCTAGAGATCTTTAAATATGGAAACCAAAAAAGCTAAACAGTAACGAACAAACCTCTCACCATTGGGTCAAAAATTCAGTCTATGAAGGCTAAACATTATATTCACACAACTTTAGTTAGATATTATACATAGATTTCACCCCTTGGCATTCCCTCTAACCGGCCAAAGAAAATGGAGTTCCTTGGGTAAATGCTTTAGCAGGGTGCAAGGCAAGGAATTTTACCTTTTAGAATGGTATGGCAGCAAAGTCTTCCCCCTGGAAGGGACTCTTTCTGGCTTTTTTTGTTTGTTGTTTGTTTTATGTAGGGGGAGGGTTTTACGTACCTCATTTAATTTCACAAAAGCAAAAAAAAAAATGTTGTCCTTAATCCAGGGTTCAAAACTTACGTACTTTGAAGTAATTTATGACTTTATATCTTGGGTTAAAGTACTTTAGAACATCCCAGAGTTCTTAATAGATCAGACTGGAAGCCACCAACTTCCCTCCTCTCCCACCAGAACACACAGTTGAGAAAACAGATTCAGCTGAGACACTTTGGGGGAAATCTGAGGGGGGGGGTGGGCATGAGGAAGCATGGAGGACTGCAAGCTGCCCTGGTTTTTTTCTGCAGAGTGAGGTCTTTTAAAAACAAACATAACCCCCAAACAGTAACAACAACAACAAAAAAGCATCAGTTTCCTTTACCCTGCATTTCCACTATCATTCCTGCCTTCCCAGACACACCCATTCATCCCCGAGTGTCTGGAATGACTTGATAGAAGCAAGGAAACCTGCAGGGCTCAGCGGTAAGGACGCCCACTGCCATGCCCGAGGACACATGTTTGACCCCAGAACCCACATCGTGGGAGGGGAGAAGCATGTCTTGCATGCTGTCCCATGACTCCCACATGGGTGCATCCACATACATGGAAAATAAAGAGCACAGGGCTTCAAATCTCTTTCAAATTGGTCAACGTCCCACTCACAGATTTTCTCACTTGGCAACCGCAACAAACAATCCTCCAGTTCATATAGCAACTCTCGGACCATAAGTCACAGTGGTTCATGAGCCTCGCAGTTAACCCAGCAACAACCCAGACTCCCATAAAATGTGGCCCAGACATCAACTCACTCCCAGCCAGCTGCATGTCTCCAATTAACATCCAGGTCTGGGAGGGGTGATGGACCTTCCTAAATGCCCCACTGTCCAGGTTTGTATGAAAACTATGCGGTCCTTAGGCTCCTTAGCTCTCTCTGGTTTAAAGATAGCAGGGGTGGGGGAGTCAATGCAAGTTAACTGGCCTGAGAGAGGAGGTGACAATCTAGAGAACCAGCTGGAACCGAAGTGGAAGTAACCCAAAAGCTCACCTTCAAGCGAGGAGCCTCTTTCTGCAAAGGAGCAACCACTGCAAGAAAAGAGCCCCTCTGTCTCCACTCCACATGCGGGTGGTGACAGCCTCTGAGGCAGCTCAGGCTAGCGGGTGCTTAATGCCCACTGGCTGCAAGTTCTGACTGGCCCTTCCCCAGTAGACCCGGAACAGCTGTGCTGGAGAGCAAACATTGGCATCCTCCCCCCCCTCGGCCTGCAGCTGCTCAGGGGAAGGTCGTCTACCCCACCCCACCCCCATGAGCTTGTACTCTTATTATTTTTAAGATTTAAAACATGCATGTGTGTATGCACGGAGGCCAGAAGAGGGTATGGGATCCCTTGGGGTTGTATGAATTTGGGTGCTGGGGGCCAAGCTAAAGTCCTCTGCTTACACCAACGGCTCAGGGCTCATAACCACGGATCTACTTGTCCAGATGAAGACTCATTCTCACCAGCGAGCACAGAACCTGGGATATTCACACACCCCACTGGGTGTTTCTGAGCAGCATGTATTTGGGGTCCTCACCTTTTACAAATGTAGCCTGGAAGTAGTGCTTAGCATTTACATGTTTTTAAAATTTTACTGCAAGCTGACAGTCAGAATCTGGTGCATGTATGAAACACAAAAAGGCATCGAGTATATTCGTTGTGAGATGACTAAGCTAAACATCATTTTGGAATACTTATGTCATGGGGGTGAACTTGACATTTATGGTTAGCAAATTTTTAAATATTTTTGGGCTACCATGGAGTTCAAGATAGGGTTTCTCTGTGTAGCCCTGGTTGTCCTGGAACTCACTCAGTAGACCTGGATAGTCTTGAATTCAGAGATCTGCCTGCCTCTGCCTCCCGAGTCCTGGTGTGTGTGTGTGTGGACTCTGAGGAAAGCTGTCTAAGGAATACATTACATGCCAGTGCAAGATAAGTGGTCAGCATAGAATCATTTAGAATGCATTCTGGGCTGGGTGCTAGTGACACTTGCTTTTAATCTCAGCACTCAGTAGTGAGAGGCAAGAGAATCTCATGAATCTGATCTATAAAGTGAGTTCCAGGATAGGCTCCAAAGATAGACATAGAAAACCTGTCTCAAAAAACTGAGGGGGTGGGTGGGAGGGGGGGAGGAAGAGGAGGAGGAGGAGGAGAACATTAAAAATGCATTCTGGCCGGGCGTTGGTGGCACACGCCTTTAATCCCAGCACTCGGGAGGCAGAGGCAGATGGATCTCTGTGAGTTCGAGGCCAGCCTGTTCTATAGAGCTGATTCCAGGACAGCCTCCAAAGCCACAGAGAAACCCTGTCTGGAAAAAAAAAATGCATCCTGGTCCACAGCAGCAGTGAGATAGCAAGAAGACATTATCCCTATTGCAGGAAGCTGAGTGTCCCAGCATCATTCTGCTCCGAGAGGCAAAGCATTCCTCAGAACACAGGACAAGGGGGAGCACGTGAGTTCAAAGGTTCCCAAACATCCTCAGCTGCCACCATCCTTAACACCGTGGTCATTATTTTCAGGTCGCCCCCTTTTCCTCATTTAGTTTAGAAGATTTCTGTCGCCATAACTGTGCCACGGAAAACACAACTTTGCAAATGCATGAGATTGCCAAGAAGACTTTTTGTTTTGTTTTGCTTTATTTTTTTTTGAGACAAGGTTTCTCTGGGAAGCAGTCCTAGCTATTCTGGAACTCACTCTGTATACCAGGCTGGTCTTGAACTCACAGACTTCTGTCTGCCTCTGCCTCCTGAGTAGTGGTATTATAGTTGTGGGCCACTGCCTCCTGGCTTAAAATGTGTAGCCCAGGTTTGCATCGAACTGGTGATTCTCCTGCTAATGCCTCCTTCAGCAAATCTTACCAGTGTGTGGTACCACAAGCAGTGCCAAGAGAAATTTAACGTAATCTAGTGTTCAGGCTCAGTGACCTCCATCTAGTAGCTCCCCCAGTGATGCTCCTCAGCGTCCTTAAAATCTGAAATTTTCCACTGTGGGGAATTTCATCTCACCTCAGACAACTGGGTTAAGTAGGACTCGACCACTAGATAATTTGCCTACAAAATGACAGTAGTAACAACTTTGCTCTATACTTTGAACTCACTCATCATCTCACAGAAGCCTTAGTGGTCTGCATAAGGTTTGCACAAGGTCAAGCCAGTCAGCACTCCATCACCCTCTGCATAAGTACCACGCCCCCTGCTGTGGGCTCACTGTATCCTGTGGTGCTTTGTTTCAGCTCAGCACCTAGCATAGCAGGCAAAGTCAAGGTCCCTGGAAAACCTTGTAGCAGCTTGTCACATTCACAGACAAGAGCAGAGAGAGAGAGAGAGAGAGAGAGAGAGAGAGAGAGAGAGAGAGAGAGAGAGAGAGAGAGAGAGAAACAGACAGAGAGAGGGGGGGTTGTAGGTTTCCAAAGAGGCCAGAAGAAGGCATCAGATCCCTGGGAGCTGAAGGTACAGACAACAGACAGCTTTGATCCCCTGATGTGGGTGCTAAGAACTGAACTCTCCAGTCCTCTGGGAGAGCAGTAAGTGCCCTTAACTATTGAGCCATCTCTCCAGCTCCAGGGGGATACACCATACACACACACACACACACACACACACACACACACACACACACACACACACACGTGCTCCTAGTATGTAGCCTTTGCTGGCCTGGAATAAGAGATATACACCAGGCTGGCCTTGAACTGTCTTCAGAGTGCCGGCTTAACAAGTCTTTGCTACAGCGCTCGTTAAGAATTTAATAGTGAGTGATGACTGTGATTAGCAGCCTGACCACATAATTCTTGAAAATTTACTGAGCAGGGTCCTGCTTTCCACCCGGTGAAGCCTGTATTCTGTCAGAGCCCAGGTGTAAAAGAAAAAAGAAAACAGAGATCTGAAGGAACCAGCCTGGGATCCGCGCTATAATTCGGATTTATAAAGATTCCATTCAAAGCTCACGCCTTTAAACCAAAACTCAGGAGACTGAGACAGGGGCTTGGAGTAACTAGAATACAGAGGGACCCTGTCTCAAGAAAAAAAGAAGAAAGAAAAAAAAAGAAATAAAAAGATTTCGTTCCGTTCTGATTTAATGTGAAGCAGCAAGCTAAGTCCTTTCCTTCTTAGAAATTTGGACGGATCCAAAGTCCGCCCTCCTCTGGCCGGGCTGTCGTCATGACAACCGCGTCCGGCGTCCTTTTCCGGACCACGCCCCAGCCGTCCCTCGGTGCTTCTGTTGGTCAAAAGTTAGCAGTGAGCGGTACCTTTTCACGTTCATTGGTCAGTTGATAACAACGACGCAAGGCTACCTGCTCCCATTGGCTGACTGCTCATAGAGGGCGGAGCCTCTGGGAGACAGTTTGGGCAGGCTTTGTGGAGCTCAGCCCCATCACTCTGCGGGAGAAGAGCCACCTCCGGGTATTTGGAAGGTTAAAGGTGAGGCGGAGGGGCAAGAAGCGAGGGGCAGTGAGAGAGGGACGGTGGGGACAACGTGGAGTTCCCAGGATCCTTGTCCCGCAGGGCGATGACCACACCGGCGGGCTCCGGGGCCGGCTACGGCTCTGTGTCCTGGTGGGGAATGTCGCCAGCGCTGGACCTACAGGCGGAAAGTGAGTCTCTACGTTAGGACCATACACGATCTTAGGCAGAGGTCCCTTGCCAACTCCCATGTGTGCACACCTCACAGCACTTGTGTCCATGGCAGGGGGTGCAGGTGTGTGTGTGTGTGTGTGCGTGCGTGTGTGTGCGCGCGCGCGTGCATTCCCTAAATTAAATGACTTGGGGAGAGGGCCACCCCCGGGATCTTCCTTGGTGATATTGAACACCATAATGCAGAGATACAGCTGCCTTTGGAATCCAGGCTTGGGGCACCAGCTCTACTGGACTCGTAGCTTCTAAAGGCAGCTGCAGGAAATGAAGACTTGGTAGCCGGCCTCTGCCCGCTATCGTCTTGCCAGGTCCTCCCGTGGACCCAGGGTCTCAGGCAGAGACAGAGCACGAGATCCCGGAGTTGGATGCCCTGCTGTTAGGCTCTGTGGATGGTCGCCACGTGCTGCGGACGCTGTCCAGAGCGGCTCTCTGGCCTCTCAGGAGGTTCAATGTGAGCTGGGGTTCTGGGGTCGTGGATGGGGGCGGGACAAACGGAGAGCCCAGATTCCCGAGCCCTTGAGAGAAGAGAGGATTGGAGAGGACACTTTCCAGGTTCTAGAGAAAAGAGGCTTGAGACTAAGTGGCTGTGGGGTCTGAGGAGGTGGATGCTGGAGGTCTCAGACCCATGTCCTGGGGGAAGAAAGGGGCTTCTGGGCTTCTGACAGTGGAGAACCCAGGACCAGATAGCCAGGATGATCTGGAATCTAGACTTATGGCTGAAGAAATGGACAGGCAAGCTGGGCCTAGTATTTCGTGCCTGTAATGGGAGCTTCTCAGGAGGCTGAGGCAGGAGAATCATCTCAAGTTTAAGGCCATCCTGGATTGCAGAGAGTTAAAGGCCAGAGTTCAAGGATCACCCAGTGAGAGCTTGCCTCACAACAGAAACTGAGAAAGAGAGCTGGGAATTGCAGCTCAGTGATGGAGTGCTATCTTAGCTTTAGCTTATGGAAGCCCCTTGGTTGTATTCCAACACCATACTGGGCGCCGGGCGGGGCACAGGAGGCTAGTGTTCTGTGCTCGTAGACCCTCGGAACTGTCTTGTCTGTCATTCCCTCCAGTTTTATGTGTTGGAGAATAATCTGGAAGCTGTGGCGCGACACATGCTGATCTTCAGCCTAGCCCTAGAGGACCCCGAGAAGATGGGACTCCAAGGTCAGGTGCTGCGAGTGTAGCATCCAAACTCAGGGCCCTTCCTTCCCTCTCCCTTCAAAGATGCTGGCCTTCCAGTGATGTGATTGAAAAGTTTGGAGACAGGATGGGCGTGGCGCAGGGCCAGGCAGATGTCTGAGTTTTGAGACCAGCCTAGTCAGCAGAGTGAGTTCCAGGACAGCCAGGACTACACAGAGAATAAACCCTATCCCAAAACAAAAACAAAAACAAAACAAACAAAAACCAAAAAAACAAAGAGGCTTGAGGCCATATGTCAGCTTGCCTTGCCTTTCTGAAGTCCCAGCTTCAATGCTCAGTGCTGAGTAGTGGTCGCAGCTCCTGAATTGGTGAAGTTCGCCCCGTCTCCCCTCCTGCTTCACCCTTCCCACCTCCCTCCAGAGCGCTGTGAGACCTTCCTGGAGCTGTGGGGGAACGCGCTGCTGCGACCCTCGGTAGCTGCCTTTGTGCGAGCCCAAGCTAGCCGCCTGGCTCATCTGGTCCCCGAACCTGATCGCCTGGAGGAGCAAGTACCCTGGCTCAGCCTCCGGCCGCTCAAGGTGCCACGGCTGCCCACTTCTGTGATAGAGGGAGCGTGGCCTGGGATCGGGTGGCTGCTGATAGAATGTTCTAGAAAGGAGTGGTTCAGAGGAATTGAGGGGCTGGAGCGGGCTGGGGTGTGGAGGGCCCATTCCCACCTCTGTGACTCCTACTGTTGGGGTGTGGGATGAGGGGAGCCTTTGCTCTCTGAATCTCTTTTTTCCGCATCCGCATAATCATGCCTACTTAATGGGACGGAGGGGAACCCTCCCTGTATCTCTGGCTCTCTCGCCCTGACTGTGCAGTTCCGCGAGCGGGATGCCCTGGAGGCCGTGTTCCGCTTCTGGTCTGGTGGGGACAAGGGCCCTGAGATCTTCCCTATGAGTCGCCTTTGGGACTCGAGGCTGCGCCACTACCTGGGTTCCCGCTATGACGCCCGGCGTGGTGTTGCTGACTGGGACCTCCGCATGAAGCTGCACGATCGAGGGGTAAGGAAGCCTTGGAGCAGGTAGCGGCTTCTGAGATCTGAGTGAAGCAAGAGGGCTGGGACTTCGCCCCCAATCTGAGGAAGGAAGGCTGGGGTCTGGGCTCCTGGGTCTGAGGGAGGAGGGATTCCTATAGGTGTAGAGATGGGGTTCCTATACCAGATCCATCGGGACTTTCCCGTCGTCTATTCCAGGCCCAAGTCATCCACATCCAGGAATTCCGACGCTGGCGGGACACAGGTGTTGCCTTTGAACTCAGAGACTCAAGTGCTTACTCCGTGCCCAACAGGACCCTGGCATCCGGTCGCCTCCTGAGCCACGTGCGTGTCAACCCCCAAGTCTTGGTTACTCTGTGTCTTTTAGGTCAACCTTTGAGTCAAGGTCTCCAATTTGGACCTCACCTGCGATCTCATCACCCCTGCTTTTTTTTTTTTCCAGCGTGGGGAACGCGTGGCAGCGCGCGGGTACTGGGGGGACATCGCCACGGGTCCCTTTGTGGCTTTTGGCATCGAGGCGGACGACCAGAGCCTCTTGAGGACGAGTAACGGACAACCGGTCAAGGTGTGTGGCGGGTGGGGCTGGAGTTAAGCCCAGCGGGCAAGTTCCTGCCCTCTGCCTTCCAAGCCCCGCCTAGCGCCAAGCCCCGCCTAGCGCCAAGCCCCGCCTAGCGCCAAGCCCCGCCTAGCGCCAAGCCCCGCCTAGCGCCAAGCCCCGCCTAGCGCCAAGCCCCGCCTAGCGCCAAGCCCCGCCACGCTTTGTAAGCTCCACCCCTCATTTCGGTCCGGTGTCTCCAAGTAACAGGCTCTGTCCCTAACCTCTTGGGCTCCACTTAGGAGCGCCACGATCCAGTCCTCTTAGGATATCTTAAATTCAGCCTGGGGAAAGCGACAAGTTTTCTAATTCGGGGCTAGCTGTCACCGGCGCACATCCTTAATAAGGTTCCTAGTTTAACATCGGGCCCCTCCCCTTTCTTCTGGGCAGACCGCAAGCGAGATCACGCAGCATAATGTTACAGAGCTGTTCAGAGAAGTGGCCGCCTGGAGGGGCCCGAGAGCCATTCAGGGCGACCTGGAGGAGAAGACCTCGCCCGAATCGGATGGTAGGTAGCTAACAGTTGCAAACTTCAGATAGGGGTGCTGTTTTATTTCCCCCAAGTTTGGATGTAGCTAATTTGGAATACCCGGGCAGTTGCCCTCCCCCTCGTTAATGTTTGTTCTCTTATTCTCCCTTTCCTAGTAAATCCTAACATCGCCAGTAGGAGAATTCTCAGTCTCCATAGAGGTCTAGCAGGGGACTGTCTAGATTCCCCGCTGAAGGCTCTCCCCACGTGGATTCTGGCTGCCCCTCTTTTCCTTAACTCACCCCTCCCTAGGCGCGCCTGTTCCTCTATTCAAAATGGGTCTCTGCCTCGCGGGCCCACCTTCCCAGATTTGCAGGAATCCGGCCCAGAGAAGGGATGAAGTGGGGGGGGGGCTTCTAGAAGGACAAGGAAGGTAGGCAAGCTAGCTCAGCAGGGAGCAGTGCTTGCCCGCAGGGCTTCGCAACCCAAGTTTGGTGGAGCTGAAGCAAAGGAGGGAAGAGACAGCTGACTCCAGAGTTGTCACACCCATGCTGCAGAACCCACCGTCCCCAAAGACCAATTTTAAAGAAAAAGTCCCCAAAAACAATTTTAAAGAAAAAGCCAAGCTATCGGGGTATGGCCGCATATAACTGTCCTCCTAGCATTTGGGAGACTGAGGCAGGAGGAAATGCTTGCTCTCGGGAATAATTCCAGACATCTTCAGCTACAAGATGAGAACCTGTCTCAAAACAAAAACAAAAGTAGGGACGAAGGAACATTAACTTCGATTTTATTATCTGCCCACTTGTGAGTGCCTTTTTGCTCTCTCCCTTAAGATTTAAGTTTATTAGGGACCAGGGAGATGGCTCAGCAGTTAAGAGCACTGACCATTCTTCCATAGGACCCAGGTTCAATCCCCAGCACCCACATGGCAGCTCACAACAGTCTGTAACTCTAGTTCCAAGGGATCTGACACCCTCATACAGACACACATGCAGGCAAAAACACCAATGCACATGAAAATAAAATAAATACATTTTTTAAAGATTTAGAATTATTTATGTGTATGCACACGCATGTAGGCTCTTTCAGAGACCACAAGAGAGCGCCATATCCCCAGAAAGGGATTAGAGGCAGTTCCAAGGGGTCCGGCGTGAGTTTTGGTGCTAGGCACAAAGTGTAGCATGCTCTGTTAGCGGGGAAGCCATCTCTTCAGCCCCAGAACTGACTTTTTCTTCTCTTTCCTTGCAGTGCCTACTCTAGAACCCTTTACTATGTATTTCCTGCCTCTCGATTCTTCGCAGACTCTCCACCATAAGACCTGCTACAAGGGCCGGTTCCAGCTGCTCTATGTGTCCTGTGGGTAAGTGGGACACACGTGTGCTCCTGGAGACCTAGGACTGGGCCCGGTTTCTTCTTTTTCAGGATCCGGGGACTTGAGCTTCGCACTCTCCACCCAACTCCAGGCCTTCGTCCCTACCCGTGTTATCTCAGTTTCTAGCCTTTTCTCTCCTGCAGGATGGTCCATCTACTCAGTCCTGAGCTTGGGGCTTGCGTGGCCCCTGGAGGGAACCTGGTTGTGGAATTAGCTCGGTGAGCCAGAGGAGCGGGGTGGGAGGGTCCCAGCTGGACCAAAAGCACAGTCTCCTCACATGCAGTTTCCTGAACCAGGTACTTGGTGGACCTGCGGCCCAAGGAGTTGAAGACATTCTCTGACCGCGTTGGGGAGATAGCGCGGGCGGCTGGGTTCGCCCCGCATCCCGGAGCCATACCATCGGAGAACTTTGCGCGCTTCTACAAGTTAGGAGACTCTACTAGGGGTGGTGGAGACTCAGGTGTGGAATCTGGACCCTCGACCTGCGAAGTCCTGGCCCCGCCTCCAGAAGCGATAAGCCCACCCCAGGCTGACCCGGCCCCGCCTCTAGAACCCATGAACCCACCCCAGGCTGACCAGGCCCCGCCTCCAGAAGCGAAGAGCCCACCCCAGGCTGACCAGGCCCCGCCTCAAGAACCCATGAACCCACCCCAGGCTGACCCGGCCCCGCCTCTAGAACCCATGAACCCACCCCAGGCTGACCCAGCCCCTCCTCCGGAATCGATGAGCCCACTCCAGGCTGACCCAGCCCCTCCTCCGGAATCGATGAGCCCACCCAAGGCTGACCCGGCCCCGCCTCCGGAATCGATGAACCCACCCCAGGCTGACCCAGCCCCTCCTCCGGAATCGATGAGCCCACTCCAGGCTGACCCGGCCCCGCCTCCAGAAGCGATGAGCCCACCCTAGGCTGACCCGGCTCCTCCTCCGGAAGTGATAAGCCCGCCGGTGGCAATGTCCACAGTGAATGCACCCTCAAAACCCAGGGACCAAGCAGTCCACCTGTAACTGCTGAAGCAGACCCCAGGATTGACACCAGCTCATGTAGCCAACCCTGAGCTCACCTCTGACTGTGTTCTTTCTCGACCCCAGTGTTATAACTAGAATTTCAAATTCCCTTCCTGGAGTTCTCGGCTCTACGATCAGAGGGGGTGGGGGTGTCCCAGATTGTTCTCTTGAGTATCCCGAGGCTAATTGCAGGCTGAACGCACAGCCCTGGGTTCCAGGTCCTCTCCTTTGCCTTGGGCCTCTTTCTCTCGTGACGTGCTACTTTTGGGAGGCGCAGGGACATCTCCTCCTCTGCATGTGGTTCAAATAAAGAACACAGGGTCACCTCTGTGTGTCTGTCCTCAGTCTGTGTCCAGTGCCAGGAGAAGTGGGGGGGAGGGCCCAGCAGAAGCTGTATTTGTGGGTTTACAAGTGAACTCGGTTTTAGTTCACACCCCGGGGGTCCTACACACGAGCATTCAAACTAAACACGCTAGGGGCACCGAAACTGACCAATGATAAACAAATAAAAAATGGAGGAGACAGGAAATTATAGGCCTCTGAAAGTCCGCAGAGGGAGGAAGGCCGGGCCTGGATTTCTGGTTGTGAACAAGGGGAGCTGAAGCCTGGACTCGCGCTTTGAGGGAAGACGGGGAGCTGGCTCCCAGATTTTCCCGAGTCTGAGGGAGTCGGGACACCAGAGTCAGAAGCAGGAGGGGTGTGCCTCTCGGGCACCTCGGTCACCCAACTGGGGCTTTGCACACCCCTCCCCTCACCCCCAGTTATCTCGTCCAGGGCGGAGTGGGGGAGGAGACAGCAGTATATTTAGTCTTTGTCCTCGCCCCTTATCTCAGTGTCCTCAGTGAGGCTGGAGCAGCCCAGAGGGGACCCAATCTCTAGAGACCTCCAAGGTCAGCGGGGACACCCCTGCAGGACCCTCCAGGACCCCCTGGTTTCTTTCTCTGCCTCAGGGGATCATCATGGCAGATGAGTAAGTGACTCTTGGTAACCTTGGACTGGATCCCCAAGGAACTAGGAGAGGAGAGAGGACGCAACTTGGTTAGATGCCTGGCCTGAGATGGTAGGATGTAAGGGTGGGTGGATTTCTGGGTGGAAATGAGGTAGGCATTTAAGAACCAGACTCCTGGGGTCCGAGGGAGTGGAAGCTAATAGCTCCAACCTCTTGGCCAGGGGGACTCCGTCACTGATTGCCTCTTCACGGTCTCTCTCCCTTCAGGGGCAGCAATGCGGTGAGCGCCTTGAGCTAAGAAGTGCAGCAGGGAACCCTCGGGCGCTGCAGGGAGGGGACTGGGGCGCCGGTGGGCATAGGTGAGGGTACCGGGAAGGACAGGGTGGGAGGGTTTGGGTAGTGATCACAGTCTGCTCCACCTCCAGGCTGGGGAGCCTCAACCGGCACCAGCCCCCGTCCGACGCCGCTCCTCGGCCAACTACCGAGCCTACGCCACCGAGCCACACGCCAAGGTGGGACCGGGACCTCAGAGGGCGGGATCGCTGCTGGGCGGGGCTTCTGGGTTCAGAATCCTCAAGGACCTAGGGAGGGGCGGCACCAAGGCCTTGGCAGGGGTGGCAGCGCTTTGGTGATGTGCTGGGTGGAGTTCGATCGCTGGGGCAGAATTTCCGAAAGGTGTCGTAGGTTGGGCTCAGTGACAGCTGCTATGGGCGGAGCTCCGCTGCCCACAGCCCGCAAGGCTTCAAGCGATGGGGTGGGGAGACGGGGGTACAGAAGCAGAGTGTAGCTCCAGTCAGAGCCCAAGCTTCCGGGGGACTCAGCGTCCGAGTTGATGAAAGTACTCGAGTGGGAGGCGATGCCTTGCAGCCCCGCCCCATGTCTGCTCTGGGACCTCCCGCTGACCTTTCTCCATGTCACCCTGGCAGAAAAAGTCTAAGATCTCCGCCTCGAGGAAACTTCAGTTGAAGGTGATGACTTGCTCGGAGGGGCGGGGTCTGGGCGGGCGGAGCTTTTCTGGGCGTGGTTTCATTTGGGAGTGTGTCACCCTCTCCCCACACACACACACACACACACACACACACACGCACGCACGCACGCACACACACGCACACAAGGGCGCGCAGAAACGAGACAGAGTTTTTGGTAAAAGACACCAACTTGGATGTTCTGTGTCTCCAGAAGATGGAGGGAAATGTTTCATTCCTATGCTTTGGGGAACGCTGTTGCGTTCTCCAACCTTCCCGCAGACTCTGATGCTGCAGATTGCCAAGCAGGAGATAGAGCGTGAGGCCGAGGAGCGACGTGGAGAGAAAGGGCGCGTTCTGAGCACTCGTTGCCAGCCTTTGGAGCTGGATGGGCTGAGCTTTGAAGAGCTTCAGGTACCAGGTCACAAAGCGGGGATCCCTGCCGAGCCTGGGGCCCCGGGGTCCCACTCTCCCGTCTGATCTCCCGTTCTGCTGGGGACCAGTAATGCCGAGCATTACAGACAGCCCTACGACTTCAAACCCCGTGTACTTCTCCAGCCAACTGCCAAGTCTCCCGATTCTTGTTCCTAGACACACTCTTTTAAGTTCCCCGGAGTCCAGATTCCAGGGTCGCTTCCTTCCAGCCCCTCCTTCCTCAGGCTCAGGAGTCTAGACCTCAGCACTTCTCTCTGAAACTCTGGGATCCAGAGCCCAGGCCTCCTTGCTCAGACCCAGGTTCCCAGAGCCCAGGCCTCCACCCTCAGACCCAGAGAGCCCAGGCTCCAGCCTCCTCCCTCAGTTCCAGTTTCCCAGAGCCCAGGCCTCCTGGCTCAGACCCAGGGATCCAGAGCCCAGGCCTCCTCCCTCAGACCCAGGAATCCAGAGCCCAGGCCTCCTCCCTCAGACCCAGAGAGCCCAGGCCTCCTCCCTCAGACCCAGGAATCCAGAGCCCAGGCCTCCTCCCTCAGACCCAGGGATCCAGAGCCCAGGCCTCCTCCCTCAGACCCAGAGAGCCCAGGCCTCCTCCCTGAGACCCAGGAATCCAGAGCCCAGGCCTCCTCCCTCAGACCCAGGGATCCAGAGCCCAGGCCTCCTCCCTCAGACCCAGGAATCCAGAGCCCAGGCCTCCTCCCTCAGACCCAGGAATCCAGAGCCCAGGCCTCCTCGCTCAGACCCAGAGAACCCAGGCCTCCTCCCTCAGAGCCAGGTTCCCAGAGCCCAGGCCTCCTCCCTCAGACCCAGAGCCCAGGCCTCCTCGCTCAGACCCAGGAATCCAGAGCCCAGGCCTCCTCGCTCCGACCAGGACCCTGGTCTCCAGCCTCTCCCTCAGCACACACGCATTTCTTCTTCAGGACTTGTGCCGGCAGCTCCACGCTCGGGTGGACAAAGTGGATGAAGAGAGATACGACGTAGAAGCGAAAGTCACCAAGAACGTCACCGAGGTGGGCACCTTTTGGGGAAGTCTGGGCCCCTTCGCAGTAGACCGTGATTCCCGGGTCTGTAGGCTCGGGATGAGACGGCCGTGGCCGCTGCTTGTGCGTGGGAGAACTCTGAGCGGAGAAGGCAGGCAGTGGAGCCTCCACCGTGTCAAGGGAAGTTGTTTTAGCAGAGACCCATCGCAGGCAAAGCAGAACCTGGGTGGCATACGTAGGTCTGTGGAGCAGCGTCCTGAGTACTGAGTTGTCGGGAACGAGTTGAGGCCCGGGTCAGGGAGTCATGATCTGCACATTGCTGGGTTGAGCCGTGTTAAAAGCTTCGACCGATGGGTCCGGGGCGCATCCGGAAGTTGGCAGGGGAGCATCCGGAAGTTGGAGGCCTTAACCTGCAGCCAGAGCTGGAAGAGAGGCAGGAATTTAGATCCTGATGGCAAGATCGGGATAAGGAGGAATGACAGGTTAGCAGAGTTGTGCAGGAGCCGGGCGTTGGTGGCGCACGCCTTTAATCCCAGCACTTGGGAGGCAGAGGCAGGTGGATCTTTGTGAGTTCGAGGCCAACCTGGTCTACAGAGTGAGTTCCTGGACAGCCTCCAAAACAATATAGAGAAACCCTGTCTCGAAAAAACAAAACAAAACAAAACAAAGAGTTGTGCAGGAAGGAAGGAAACAGAGGTTAGGGGGTCTCCACGCCCCATATGGTCACCCCCCCAGATCGCAGATCTGACCCAGAAGATCTATGACCTGCGTGGCAAGTTTAAGCGACCCACCCTTCGAAGAGTGAGGATCTCTGCAGACGCCATGATGCAGGCGCTGCTGGGGACTCGGGCCAAGGAGTCCTTGGACCTGAGGGCCCACCTCAAGCAGGTGAAGAAGGAGGACATTGAGAAGGTGAGTGTGCGGGAGGAAGGCAGATGCTTGAGAGGATCTGGGCAGCCACAACCATAAAAAGTCCAGACGGGGGGGGGGGACGGGGAGGGACTGGAGGTGCACGGGGGAGGGGAGGTTCACGGGGGGGGGGGACTGGAGGTGCACGGGGGAGAATCGAGGCGCGTCGCAGTTGGCCAGATTGTCTGAGAGGCCAAGAAGTGCTCCAGAACCAGATTCTTGCACAGGCATTCAGCAGAGAGTGGTCTAGCCAGCTAGAGGGCAGAGAGAGGCTATTTTGGGGATAGACACCAGGAAGAGCTGTTAACCTCTGACCTTTCACCTCCAGGAAAACCGGGAGGTGGGAGACTGGCGCAAGAACATCGACGCACTGAGTGGGATGGAGGGCCGCAAGAAGAAATTTGAGGGCTGAGCCCATGGCTCCCAGCCCCGTTGCACCGTGGATGTCCCCTGAGGAATAAACCTCTCTGAACAGGAAGTGACTGTGTGTGCCTGCTTCCCTGGAGAGTAGGCATGAGGAAAGGTGGGGGTAATGAGGGCTGCTGTCCCCCAAAGCCATGCGGGGGTGTGGTCACAGGCAAGTTTCTCACATGCGGCAGTCTCCTCTGCAGGGGCATAGAACGTGCTAAACCCAAAGAAAGATGTGCTGGTGGGCCCAGGTTTGATTCCCAGCACCCACACAGCAGCTCAAAACTACCCGTGCTTCTAGTTACAAGGGATCCTATGACAGACAAGCAAACTACCCATATCATATACATTTTTTAAATTAAAAATAATTCTTAGCCGGGCGTTGGTGGCGCACGCCTTTAATCCCAGCACTCGGGAGGCAGAGGCAGGCGGATCTCTGTGAGTTCGAGGCCAGGCTGGACCGACAGCCTCCAAAACAATACAGAGAAACCCTGTCTCGAAACCCCCTCTCCGCAGAAAAAGAATAATTCTTAAAGTGCCAAGAAAACAAAACTAGAAACCTAGATGTAGGCAGAGAGATGATGGAGACCCTGTAAGAAACAGAAACAGAAAGCAAAGACAGATATAGTGGTACATGCCTTTAATCCCGGTTCCTGGAAGGCAGGCACGAGCTAGCATGGTCTAGGTACTGGATTCTAGGACAGTCAAAGATACATAGTGAGACCCTGTCTCAAAAAACCCAACTCGCCCCTGATGGGGGAAGTCCTTCTGTGTATATGTTTGATTGGCATAAATAAAACACTGTTGGCCAATAGGGAAGTAAGATAGGTGGGACTAGGAGTCTAGGAGGATTCTGGGAAATGTAGTGAAGAGAGTCATTGAGACGTGATCCCTGGAGGAGAGAATTCAAGATTGGCATTCTGGGAAAGATAAGCCCTTATAAAAATATATATTGGTGATTATGGGTCAATGATTAAGTCAGAGCTAGCCGATTAGAAACCATAGCAAATGACCAACAGCTTCATAATTAATATAGTGTCTTGTGTGTTATTTGGGGGCTAAAGCGGCAAAGGGACCCAGGCGGGATCCCACAACACACCCCAACCAACCAAACTAGCAAACTCATGAAAGTCCCACAGAAACGGAAAACTGGAGAGAGACAGAGACACAGAGAGACACCCAGAAGGATGGAGAAAGACACATGGCCCAGACACAGAAAGGCAGAGCCAAGATACAGAAGCTGAGCTATAGGTGACTGCACAAAGACGTCCCCAGGAACACAGAAGGACAAAAACATGGAGAAGCCATTGATCCCAGCACTGGAGAGTGGAGGGCTGAAGGATTGGTTACTTTCTTTAGTTACGTAGATGAGTTTGAAGCTAGCATGCGCTACGTAAGACCTCAAATCTTTCAACGTTCCCCACCCCCAGAAGAAAACAAAACTGCAGAAGTTCACAGCAGTCCAGACAGGAGAGAGAGAGAGAAGAGAGAGAAAGAGAGAGAAAGAGAGAGACAGAGAGAGAGAGAGAGAGAGAGAGAGAGAGAGAGAGAGAGAGAGAGAGCCCAAACCGAAGAAGGGAAGACAGAGCCCTGAACACCCACAGAAACAAACCCACACACGGGGGAGAGTGAGGTACAGAGGGGCATGGAAGTCAGCTTTCTGAGTAGGCATCGGATTCCCTAGAGTTCAAGGTCGTGGCTTGGCTGGGAAGGGGGGGGCAGAGGATACTAAAAAAGATCTGTGTCAGATGGAGGAGAGGAGGGGCTGGGAGGGTGAGGGCTGTCGAGCCTGACACCCCATCCTCTCCCTCCTCCCAACACCTGCTTTCCAGCTTTAGAGGCCTGTTGTCACTGTGGTGGAATCCTGGTGGCAGACAAAGGGGTGGGGGAAGGGGGGAGACAGTTGGACAGAGACAGAGGGGGACAGAGATGGAGGAACAAAAAAAAAGACACACTCACACGCGCGTGCACACACACACACCCCATGCAGATGCAAGCCACAGACAGGGGCCATAGGAGAAGATTGAGAAAAGCCACAGAGGTAAAAGCAGGAAGTTTCTAGTTTCTCTTAGCCCCCCCCACGTTTTTGTCACTAAGCCCCCTTTTCCTGTACTCCTTCCAGTCTTGGGGACTCCAAAGCTCAGGATATTGTTGGGTGCCCTAAGAGAGCTTGTGGGGTGCCTGACCTAACCCGTACTCTAGGGCGTTGTTGATGAAGTCCAACAGGGTTCTTGAAGCAGATGGACCCCAAAACTGGAGCCAGAGGGGGCAAGGCAGGCTCTGAGCATGGGGGATGGTGTTTGACCAGAGGAATCCTCGCCCCCCTCCTCCAACCTGGGGCGGGGCTGAGCATCCAGCTATAAACCCAGGGGGTGCGTCACTGCCCTCAGAGTCCTCCGATTGCCTTGACAGCATCAGCGGATCCAGACCCAGGTAACCGGGCTCTTTGGAGTGTGGGCAGGACAGGAACAGTGGGAACCAGGTGTGAACAGAGAGAGCAGGGTTTCCTCCTCCTCCTCCTCCTCCTCCTCCTCCTCCTCCTCCTCCTCCTCCTCCTCCTCCTCCTCCTCCTCCTCCCCTCCTCCTTCTTCGAGACAGTCTCATTCTGTAGCCTAGGCTGGCCTTGAGTTTGCAGCAATCCTGCTTCCTGACTGAGTGTTGCGAGTAAAGACGGCAGCAACCCAGCTAAAGCCTGAGCCTTTGGGAGGGCTTGGAATGGCCGGTGCGGAGGGGTAGGATTTGTGGGTTACAGAATCTGGGGGTGCCCTCCTTCACATGGTGGAGGAAGCGTTTGGAAGGCAGAGGCACGTAGATCTCTAAGAGTTCAAAGTCTAGACTGGTTTGCGAAGAGAGTTCAGGGTTCCATAGTAACACCATCTCAAAAAAAAAAAATTGGGGAGGTCTCAGAGGCTGGAGGAAACCGAGAGCTGTTCTTGAAGGACAAATGGTTTGGGAAGTCTTGAGGCCAGAGGAACTGGGGAAGGACTAGGGCCTGGGGTCTCAGTGATACAGGCCGGAAGTCCCAACACTCAAGAGACTGAGGCAGGAGGATTTTTAGAAATGGTGACATTGCATGGTAATCCAGGGTGCTGCAATTGGACCTCTGAGTTCGGATGTCAGGCTTTATTGGATGAGGTCTTATGCCTGGGGATCAGACAGGTGCAGGCTGTAATCTGGCACTCTGGGAGGCGGAAGAATCAGGAATTCAAGGTCATCTTTGGCTACATGGCGAGTTCAAGGCTAGCTTGTGTTATATGAGACCCCGTCTCAACGCCAACTTCCAAGCCTCCCATCCCCCCACAAAATCTTGCGGGTCTTAGAATGTAAGCGCCGGTACATATGTCCTAGTGTGAATTGGGCACCTGGTCATCTGGAGACACTAAGATTTCTTGGTCTCACATAACAAGGGATTTGGATCTCGGAACCTGTGGGCACTGAAGGTCTCGACCTGGGAACTTTCAGGCCCGGAGGAGCAGAGTCCGGGGGAGGGAGCTGAGGTCTTTAGCGGATCAGGATGAAGCCGTTCTCGATGCATCCATCGCTGCACAGGATGTAGGGGAAAGGGAAAAGGGATACTCGGTGATGGGAAAGAAGCTGGGCAAACAAGGGGGCTGTGGAAGGAGGGGTAGTGGGGGGGGGAGTCCCATTTCTCCAATTCCTTATTGGGAAATGTCCTCTGTTTCTCTGTCTGTGACATTCCCCCCGAAATAGCACTAGGGGTGGGGCAGCTATTGTCTTCAAACCCTGTCCCTTTTCCAATATCTGCTAATCCCGACTGGGATCGGGTTCTCGTGAACCTGTCATAGGACAAAAGAAGACAGCTGGGGTGAGGGGGGGCAGGGTAGACAGGCTTGGGGTGGGACTGGGGCCTGGTCTCCACGAATCGGGATGCTAGGTGCTAGCCTCTCCCTGCTCTGACCCGGGTCCAGACCCATATCCCCTCCCTCAGATCCAGGAGTCCGCGCGCCAGCCCTCTTCCTTGGGGACCTTCCCCACTCATCCTCTCTTCTCTGGTCTGCAGGTCACTCCAGAATGTCAGACACGGAAGAACAAGAATACGAGTGAGTGGTGACGTCTGGCAGGCTTGGGGGCTCGCGATGCGGGCAGATCATTCCATCCCCAAGATGTCTAACCCTCCGTTCTCTCCCTCTCTCTCCTTATCCATGCCTCTAGGGAGCAGGCGGAAGGTGAGCGCGGAGAGGGCAGCTTAGGGGCTGGAGGAAGCAGGTCGGAGCGGGCTCCTTGAGGGGGACGGTGTGGTAATCCAGCCACACTTCGGAGTAGAGGAGGGGGTGGGATGGTCTGAAGCTGTTGCCAAGGAAACTTCTGGCAACAGGTGGGAATGCTCCCTGTTGCGCTTGCAGCTGGGGCACGCTGTTAGCTCGCTTTCCTACCGAGGGCTTGGGTTTAGACCCCAGGTCTGAGGGAGGAGGGCTGGGACCTGATCTCCGGGGTCTGAGGAGGGAGGGGCTACCCCACGAGTCTCTGGTGCACAGCTGATGCTCCTTATCCCCGGATCTAACCTCTTCTTTGTGTGTCCCATCTTTCCAGATGAGGAGGCGGTGGAGGAGGAGGAAGGTGAGCCTGAATCCCGCAGGCTCTCGGAGGCCTCGGGGTAGGGGTGGGGGTGCGGTGGGAGACGGAACAAGGTGTTGGGCTGAAGGATCCCGGGTCCGTTCTTTAACAGCGTCTCGCTTCTCTCCCCACCCATCCCTTTATGCTACCGTGCGGCTGCCCCTCCCTGCACCTCCCAAATCTTGCTTCTTCTCCTGCCCCTCTCAGCCCCCGAGGAGCCGGAGCCGGTGGCAGAGCGAGGTAACCATAGCTTCTTCGGTTCCTGGGATTGATTCGGGGTGTCTGGGGACCCCGACATCAGCAGGTCCGCCGTCCACCATCACCCCCATAGGCTCCTGGATGATCTGCCCAGCCCCGCCCAGCCTCATCCTTTAAGCCCCTGGGGCCCTGCGCCCTCCGGTGGCCGTGAAGGGAAATTGCCTTGCGTGTCTCTTAATCATTTTCCCTTCCTTAAAGGGAGTGTTGTGCAAGCCTTCATTCCAATCTTGGAAGAAT